CCGACGGCCAGCAGCGCCAGCAGCGCCACGGCCGCGCAGACGCCGAACATGCTCCTGGTGCCTGTCTGCCGGTCGCTGTCGTGGAGAACCAGTAAACCCAGGCAGGCCAGTAAGTTCAAAGGAAGGCGAAACCAGTTCATCACCCCCAAGCGATCCTTTTCCGGCACAACTTTCCGTCGGAGGAAACCCATGGCCGGGAAGTAGAGCCCGCAGGAGAGTTCGATGAGGAGGAAGGCGAGGAAGGACTCGGCGGGGTTCTCCTGGCCGGGGTTGGTGGAGAAGGTGAGCATGAAGAGGGAGAAGAAGAGGAGGAGGACGGCGAGGGAGAGGAGGTGGACGGGCTGGAGGTGGTAGCGCTTGGAGAGGGCCAGGCGGTAGAGCGAGGAGCCCAGCATGCTGGCGGCCATGAAGCCGGAGAAGACGATGCCCAAGGGAGCGCCGTGCGGATCCAGGACGGGGGTCCAGAGGAAGATGAAGATGTAGATGACGCTTTCAAACAGAGCCTGGATGGTGCCCAGGAGAAGGACGCGCCGGTCGGAGAGGAGGCACTTCAAACCGTCACCGCAGGTTTTGGAGAAAGCTCGTTTCTTTCCGTAGTTTTCATCCCAATTTTTGACGGCGAAGACTCCCGACAGAACCAGGAGGGGGATGGAGACCATGAACGGGGCCACCGGGCCCAAGCCCAACCACTCGGCAAAGAAATCGGCCGTCGCCCCGGCCCCCACGGCGATGACGTTGTTCCAAAAAGCTGCTCGGGAAAAGGTGACGGCGATCCACTCGGTCGGAAAATCGTACCGCTCCACGTGCTCGTGGACGTACCATGCCTCGAAGGCGGAAAAGAGCAACGCCGTGGACAATCCCCCTAAAACCCTCCCCACCGCCAAGACCAAATAATCCCGGGAGAGTTTAACCAAGCAACAAATCGAATAGGTCAAGGAAAAAAGGACGCAGGATTTTTTCCGACCCAATCGATCTACTAAAGAGGAGGAAACCAACCCAAAAAGGACGCTGGAGGCGAAGCCGCAGACGTAGAGGATGGCGATCTGTCCCTCCAGGAAGCGATAGTGCTGGTAGAGTTTGTAGAGGTAAGGTCCTTGTAGCCAGTCGGCGGCCAGGGCCGGCAAGTAGACGCGGTAGTAGCCGCGCTGGAAGCGGCGGAAGGCCGGGTTGGCGTGGTGGGGGGCGACGGCGGGGCGGGAGCGGCAGGCGGCCAGCTCCAGCGCCAGGCAGGCGGCCAGGAGGAGGGCGCAGGCGGAGTAGGAGGCGAGGAGCATGG